AGGAAACAAGCTAAATTCAACACCGGGGACAAGGTCTGGTTGAGAATCTCACCCACACGGGGGGTGATGAGATTCGGAAGAAAAGAGAAACTCAGCCCACGATTTATCGGCCCCTATGAAATCATAGAAAGAGTTGGGAAGGTAGCCTATCGCCTCGCTCTACCCGTTGAACTAGAACGAGTACACAACGTATTCCACATATCCCAGCTAAAGAAATACGAGCACGACCCTAGCCACGTGCTTCAACCCGAGGTCGTGGACCTCGTCGAGTCACTAGTATACGAAGAAAAACCCGTGAGAATCCTGGACACCAAGACAAGAACCACCCGACGTCGAGCCATAGAAATGGTGAAAGTCCTTTGGACCAACCATGGGACCGAGGAAGCGGCATGGGAACTCAAGGACACAATGAAGGAACGCTAGCCCAAACTTTTCACACCAGGTAACTAAGAAGAAGTCACTCGACAAGGACCAAACTTCGGGGACGAAGCTTCCTGTTAATGGGGAGAGTGTAACACCCCGTGTTACGATCCCTAAAACCAATTAATCATTTAACCAATTACCCAAAAGAAAGAATTAAATCACAATAATTAATTAGGAAAGGCCCAGCATAGTCCATGGGCCATTATCCCTAAACCCAATCCTTAGTCCTAAAAGGAATAGAGTTAACAAACCTATAGTAATTAGGCCCTAAGTAAGACTCTTAGATATATAAATAGGGAACATAAGGAGGCACCTAGAACTCCCACCACAATAATCCCTCACCACAGAAGAAGTTCTAAGAATTCCCCTAGGAGAAATCAAGAAAGAAGAAAGCTTCAAGAAAGATCCTTCATAGCCAAGGAATTAATTAAGGCTAAAAGGTAACCCATGTCTCAACAGAACCTATTTTCATAGCTATGATTCCCCTCTTAGGATTTCCCCATATTATTGTGTATCGATGATTTGTGTTATTATTATTGATGATTGGTGTGATGATTCCATGGGTGATCTTGACGATGAGAGGTTCTTGATAATTATGGTGTTCTTGATGATTATATGACGTTCTTGATGATTATATGGTGTTCTTGATGTTCTTAATGATTATATGATGTTCTTGATATTTATATGATATTCCTACCGAATCTTGATTTTAGAAGATGAATTGTGTTGTTGTTGATTTAAAAATAATTAGAACCCTAGGTTATATCGTGGAATCCGTATGGTATCATTCTTGTTATATTGGCTGGTAATTCGCATGATTGGGTGTTGATTATGTTTAGAAAATCATGATAGGTTATGTGCCGTATGTTTCTTGATTTTGATCCGTTAATTGTCTACGTGTGTTATCAATTGCGTTTGAAAGTGTCTAAGTATGGTTCCACAAAGGTTCCGGGGACGTTTTTGGTGAAAAAGAGTCAGTGGGGGGTAGGTGGGGGTAGAGGACCCGCCACCTACCCACGGCTAAAAGAGGTCTCCCCTGGTACCCGCTGGGCACCCGCTGCCCAGAACAGTGCCGCCGGCGGGTGACCCCACACCCACCGGCTACCCGCTGGTTTGTACCCCACCTTGGGATTTTGGCTTCCACGTTTGATGTTCCCCCGACCCCCGTGGTGTCCCAACGGATTCCGTCTATCGTGCCTATGTCTGGTTTGATATTTCGGGTACCTGTCGTAGGTTGTATGAATCTTATATATTGCATGCTAGTTGAATTGGTATCCCGTTGACCTAGGTGAAAGAAGTATGAACCCCTTAGAATTATTCTTAGTATGTGAAGGATCACGCATAGGTTTTGTTATACATTTTCTCCCCCTTCCCAATGTGTTAATGTGGGTTGCATGTGCTTGCTATGTGTTATGTGTGCATGATACCCCAATTCGGTTGCGATCGGATTGGTCATTCCTGAGCTGCGGTTCAGAAGCTGGCTACGGTCAGATTTACACTCTTGGGCTGCGGTCCACCGTTTGGTTGCGATCAAACGTTTCTACATGAGCTGCGGTTCATTTTCCTGGCTGCGGTCAGATGACATACTCTTGGGCTGCGGTCCACTATTTGGTTGCGATCAAACTATGATGAGCTACGGTTCATCGGTCGGTTGCGATCCACCCCTCCGTGTTGCGATACGGGGCAGGGTGCTGCGGGGCCATGTCAGAGCTATATGCGCTGACCCTTATGTATGGGCATGCGATTGGTCCTGTGGCGCCAATAAAGTGTGCTATGTGATGAAATATGGATGAGTTGTTGTTATGAGTGTCTTGGGGATGTGACTATGGGATCTATACTGAGAATCGTATATGTTGGGTTATGATTATTAATTGTGCTTATCTTTACCTGTCTTGCCTGTTGTAAACTGTATATGCTTGGTATAACTGTTGTCTGTGCTTAGCTCTATCTGTCGAGTCTATCCCTGTTTTAAAAGCTAGAGTCTCGTAGGATATATCTTCATGCTTCAAAATGGTTTTCGTATATCTATATATATGTCTATATGTATTGTATTTCAACGCGTTAGAGTGGGTTACCAGCATCTCTCGCTGAACAGATATATTTGGCTTTCAGGCACAGACGAGTAGATCACTGGAGCGCGCTAGAAGCTTGGGGCGTAGCTTAGATAGTTTTCCCTTTCGGCCTGCGTGCCATGATTTAGTATTGATACTGATTGAGGTTTTAGAATTTAGCCTGTGCACCTGAGTTCTCTAGCTCGGGTGTGGCATAGCACCCCGTACTCTTTGTATCGTATTTTGGGATTTAATGAGATTCTATCTTTATTATATAAATTTTAAATGTCTTGAAAATCTGGGGTGTTACAACGAGTCTTATATATTGCATGCTAGTTGAATTGGTATCCCGTTGACCTAGGTGAAAGAAGTATGAACCCCTTAGGATTATTCTTAGTATGTGAAGGATCACGCATAGGTTTTGTTATACGTTTTCTCCCCCTTCCCAATGTGTTAATGTTGGTTGCATGTGCTTGCTATGTGTTATGTGTGCATGATACCCCAATTTGGTTGCGATCAAATTGGTTATACTGGCAGTCGGATGGGTTGAGAACCATACCGACTGTTAACCAGGCCAGTTGCGATCGGTCAGGTATATAAACATTATATAGGGCTGCGGTCCACCATTTGGTTGCGATCAAATGGATTATACGGGCAGTCGGATGGGTTGAGAACCATACTGACTGTTAACCACGCCGGTTGCGATCGGTCAGGTATATAAATATTATACAGGGCTGCGGTCCACCGTTCTACATGAGCTGCGGTTCGTTTTCCTGGCTGCGGTCAGATGACATACTCTTGGGCTGCGGTCCACTGTTTGGTTGCGATCAAACTATGATGAGCTGCGGTTCATCGGTCGGTTGCGATCGACCCCTCCGTATTGTGAGACGGGGCAGGGTGCTGCGGGGCCGTGTTAGAGCTATATGCGCTGACCCTCATGTATGGGCATGCGATTGGTCCTGTGGCGCCAACAATGTGTGCTTATGTGATGAGATATGGATGAGTTGTGATTATGAGTATCTTGGGGATGTGACTACGGGATTTGCGTTGGAGATTGTTTATGTTGGGTTATGATTATTGATTATGCATAGCCTTATCTACCTTGCCTGTTGTGAACTATATATTCTTGCTATAACTGCCGTTTGTGCTTAGCTCTATGTGTCGAGTCTATCCCTGTTTTAAAAGCTAGAGTTCGTAGGATATATCTTCTTGTTCAAAATGGTTTTCGTATATCTATATATATCTCTATATGTATTATATTTCAACGCGTTGGAGTGGGTTACCAGCATCTCTCGCTGAACAGATATATCTGGCTTTTAGGCACGAACGAGTAGATCACCGGAGCGCGCTAGAGGTTGGTGCGTAGATTAGATAGTTCTTCCCTTTCGGTCTGCGTGCCATGATTTGTATTGATACTGATTGAGATTGTTAGAACTTAGCCTGTGCACCTTAGTTCTCTAGCTCAGGTGTGGCATAACACCCTGTGTCCTTATAAACGTATTTTGGGATTTATAATCATTTACCTTTATTATATTGTCTTTAAAAGTTTTAAAAATCTCGCGGTGTTACATAATTGGTTTGCTTGTGTAGATGTATTTTCTCAAATTGCGCTTTTGACAAAGGTTCGGGATAATCAAACCAATCCTCCTCAGATGGTCCACTCCATATGTTGCCATATAAAGGTCTCTTAAGTGACCTTTTGTTCTGTCTGATACGTTCTTCTTTCGGGTTTCCTCGTGGAGGATCCTTTCGTGTATGTTTAGAACGATACTGCCTCTGATTAACATTTGGTTTTACCCTTGATTGATTGTTCCTTGTAGGCTGACCCTTTTTATGGTATAGATCAGATCTATTACCATTTGGTCCATTCCATTTGACATTTTTGTGCCTAGGATTGCCTTTCAAAGAGTTTTCATTCCTGGGTTCCACAATTCGTTGTACAGCCTTTCCTTTCGGTTGGCTTGTTAATTGTGGTATTTCACCATTGTTAATCTTAGTCATAGGCTCAGACACTTGGGTAGGTCCTTGAACAAACACAGATCTAAAACTCTCACGAGAGTAGACGTTTGTGGGTTTGTTCAATGCGACATGTGAAGGGGAGCTGAGGTCATAACCAATTCCTGTTCTTTCCCCAGGCGGTTTTGATCCATTCAACATTCGGTCCATTAGATTAGACGAATTATTGAACGAATCAAGAACCTCACAAAATTGTTGCTCCCGCTTCTCCCTTTCTGTACACTGCTTTTTAAGAGATATAACTTGTTTTTCGAGCTGATCCTTTAAAATGGCTAGCTTAATGTTCTCTATTCGAACTTGCTTTAGCTCATTGTGGCTGATCATTAGTCAAGAGTTCTCCTCTTTTAGATTAGAGTATGTGTTTTTTATGATTGTGAACTTCCTCATCATTTCGCTGACTGATTCATTGGAACTTTGACAACTTGCAGAACTAGTCTCTACTAAAAAAGAAGAGGACGATTGAGAGTTTACCTCATCATCTTCAGCGACTAGGCAGAGATCATTGGATTCTTAGCTGAATAGGCATAGGAGCCCTTTTTCTTCTTCAGTGCTTTCGTCATCTGAACTTGAACTCGAAGAGCTACTTTCGGTTTCAGCAGTTTCAGCCTTTCCGTTCACAATCATGGCTCTTCTTCTTCTTTCGTTCCTAGAATTTGATGATTCTGGCTTGTCACTTCGCTTGTTGAACTCGCCTGCCTCTTTTGATGAGTTCTTGATTGCACCAGAGTCTTGATGCTTGCTAACCATTGGATGTGGACAGTTCGCCTTGAAGTGTCCTGGCTTTCGGCAGTTGTAGCATTGCATTTGCGAGTCCATTGATTCTTGTTTTGATGATTGTGGAGATCTTTCCTGTTGTCTTCGGTTTGATGAACATTGGAAGTCTTGGAAGTTGTTCTTTCTCATAAACCTTTTCATTTCCTCACAAACAAGGCATACTATTCGTCAGATAAGAAATCACAAGAGTTAGAGTTTGACCTGTTAGACGTTGATGCTTGTTGGTTGGCCACTAGAGCTATGTTCCTTGTTTCGGGCTCCTCTAATTCTTTTGGCTCATGTTTGAATTCATATGCCTTAAGATCACTGAAGATCTTATTGGTGCTTATAGTTTTCATGTCTCTGTGATCTCTCATGGCTGTAACCTTCATGTCCCAAGATTTTGGGAGTCCTCGAAGAATGTTCAAGTTCTTTTCCTTTTCGGTCGGCTCCATTCCAAGGTCCGAGAGATCACCCATAAGCTTTGTGAATCTGAGCTCCATGTCAGTGATAGCTTCGTTGGGCATCATTTTGAAGTCTTCAAATTTCTTCATGGCCACAGTGAGTTTATTGTCCTTCTCCTGCTCATCTCCTTCTCCCAAATTCATGAGAACGTTCCAGATTTCCATAGCAGTTTTGCACTTCCGTACTCTCGGGAATAAGGAGTCATCCAGAGATTTGTAAAGAATATCACATGCCACGTTGTCCAAATTTGATCGAGTTTTCTCATCTGAGTTGAGCTGAGATTTCGGCTTAGGTATCATGGGTTCTGCAACTGCTCTTTGTGCAGCAGCTTGAGTGTTCACCATCATAACAATGATAGGTCCTGTGGTTATCACGTCCCACATCTCGTCGTGGATAGCCGAAAGATGTGCCTGCATTCTCACTTTCCAATCATCAAATTTAGACAAATTGAAGGCAAGAGGCCTGGATCGGTTAGAATGAACTTTTTCCATTTTCTCTTTGTAAAAATAGTGCACAGACGAAAAGATGCAGTTTCAGAGAATTTTGAGAAGGGATCTACCAGGCAGTAAAGGCAAAGCGGTTACCGATCAAGGTAACTGCTGTGATACCACTTGTTGGTCCGGGTAGGGTCGAAAGGAGAATCCTTTCGGGGTTATTACGATGCAGATATGTTAGACAAATTTTATATTACTTTGCACTGTATGTTGCTTTACGAAAACTTACGGTTTGAGAGTATGTCATATGCAATGCACGAATGTAAAGCAGAGAGTAAGTAGAGAGAGAGAGAGAGAGAGAGAGAGAGAGAGTTTTTTATAGTGGTTTGGCCAACTGTGTCTACTCCACTCTTCTTTCACAACTCGTGAAAGGTTTGCACTATCACTCCTAGTACAAACTACACCAAGCTAGCTTCCTTGATCACTAAGCCGGACAGCTACTTGAAGGTTTTTCAACTCCTAGAGTTTACTCAGCCTCTATCAACTTCTTCTTCAGAGTTGAGGGTTGGTAGAAAAAATTTGCTTGTTTCTCCAACAGCTTGAAGTCTTGACAGACTGGTTGAATGATGGATGATCAACGTATATAAGATGCAATACTTCTTCAAGGTTGTGAATGTGAAATCTGATAATTCTTCTTGTAAACTTCACACGTTGACACACTCGTTTTCAAAAGCTTGAGAGAGTGAACTTGTATAAGGAGCTTTTGAATATGAATGATCAGTTGATGTAAAAACCAGCAACATCTACAATGGAGAAGATGGGTATTTATAGGAGAGGAAATATCCATCCGTTGGAGGGAGATGGTATTTCAAACCTATGGACCAGTGGATAAAAATCGGAGAGCCTGGTGCATTTATTACTTCACTAAATGCGGTTGTACCATATATTTGTTGGAGGTAAGAACTTCTGCAAGTTTTGTCTTCTAGCTCTGAAAAGAGGTACCATGGCATTTAATGCACCTTGATTTATGTGCTCCTTGTCCTTATAACGTCTTGTTCCAAGGATGATTCATCAGCTGAGACAAAAACAACATTCTCCTAGAATTATGAGAAGATGGATTGTCTTGGCAGTCTGATCATAGACTTATTGTCTTTTCACGAAAGTTTGCTTTCATCCTAAAAAGGAGCATCTCTCCATTTAATGAAGATCCGAGAGGTGGTTTCTCTTGCTAATGTAGCTTCTGCTTCAAATCTTCGATCTTCTTTCGTTCAAGAGGTCCTAACTAAAAGATCATAACTCGGTTTCGTGTGTTTGACTATCTTAACACTAATAACAAGGTGAGTTATGGTACCTTTCGTTTAGAACGAAGGTAGCAAAAGAAATACCAAAGATTTAGGGGTCTACAATCTAAGTTACATTGGTATCATCAAAATCCTAATACGTATGTTCCCAACAACTGGAAAAGACCTCCTCATGGCAAGCTCAAACTGAACGTAGATGCAGCAACTGATTCTACAAACATGTGTACAGGTGCATTCGGTGTATTACAAGAGATGAGAAAGGGAGTTTTGTTGATGCCTTTCAACAGAGATTCGAATGCTTGTATCAACCTAAAATAGGGGAGGCTATTGCGATCAGGGAAGCTCTAAAGTGGTTAAAAGTCTTGGATTTTCGTTCGATTATTGCTGAATCATATGCACAATTTGTAATCTTAGGCTTGAAGGCTTTCTCTTGTATGTCTTCTTTCGATCTTATTCTTCAGGACATTAGAAACCTAGCTAATGACTTTCTTGGCATTAGTTTTTTATTTACTAAACGATCCGCGAACAAAGCAGTTCACTTGTTAGTTTGGGAAGCTTTGCTCATAGCTGATCGTAGGGATTGGATGGCTGTTCTTCCTTTTTCCCTTCTATCTGTACTTGGTGATGACTTAAATTAATGAATTGTCTTATTTTCCAAAAAAAAAAAAAAAAACAAAAAAAAAACTACATCATTTAATAACTTTTAGAAGTGGTGCCTTTAGTGATGTTTTTTTTTTCCATCCAATCATAAATGACTTTGATAATGCAAGTTCAAAAACCAAATACTACAAGGTCCATACTAAAAACTTCTTAATTTTAATAAAATATCTATTAAAATTATGCTATAATCGTGATTACAGGTTAAATAGTTGTTCACAGATACATTTAAATGCAAACAGAATACAACCACATACACTAATAAACAAAGAAGGTATTGATATACTCAAATTTATTATTTAAACAATTTCATTATTTAGGTTTGGGCATTGGTCGGCTTAAGCCTTTCTTTATTTTATTTGTTTGCATTCTTTAGGCAGTTGTTATACCATACATGGACTAGGGTCCACCTTGCAAGGTGAACCATGATCCTAAATTGTGTATTTTTAGTATTGGAATTGTGAACTTCTGGCATATAAATTATATTTCTATAGTATCATCACAAATTATGAATTTTTAAAAGATAAATTGTGAATATTTAGTATTTAAATTGTATATTTTTAGACCCGAATCCACCAAGGTTGTAACACCCCGTGTTACGGCCTTCAATCCCGGATTAATTATTTAATTAATCCCGTTAATAAATAATTAAATATGATTTAATTCGGTTAGGTTTCCTTTAATTAATTAATAAGGTCCACCATGAACCGTGGACCCTTGACTAAATTAGAGTCCTAAGCCTATTAGGAATAAAGAAAGTAAACCCTTTACTATTCAGATTCTAATTAGGAATCCTAGACCTAGTTATCTATTAGGAATAAAGGAAGTAGGCCCTTTACTATCCAGACTACGATTAGGATTCCCTTTAATTAATTAATATGGTCCACTATGGACCATGGACCCTTATCCCTAAAATAAGCCCTTAGTTCTATAAGGAATAGAATTAGTAAACTCATACCATTCAGACCCTAATTAGGAGTCTTAAATATATAAATAGGGATATAGGAGGCACCTAGATCTTTCACCACCATAATCTCTCACTACACAAGAAGTTCCAAGAATCCCCTTAGGAGAAATCAAGAAAGAAGAAGGCTTAAAGAAAGACCCTTCATAGCCAAGGAATTAATTAAGGCTAAGAGGTAACCCATGTCTCAACAAAACCTATTTTCGTAGCTATGATTTCCCCCGTAGGATTTCCCCATATTATTATGTATTAATGACTTGTGATGATTATGATGGATGATTGATGTGATGATCCCATGGGGGATCTTGATAATCTTGATATTGGGAGATTCTTGATAATTATGATGTTCTTGATGATTATATAGAGTTCTTGATGATTATGTGTTGTTCTTGATAATTGTATGATGCCCTTGATGCTTATGTGTTATTCTTACCGAATCTTGCAATTAGAAGGTGAATCGTATTCTTGTTGATATAAAAGCGATTAGAACCCTAGGTTGTATCATATGATGTTATTCTTGGGTTATCGGGTGGGGTAATCGCATGTTTGGGTGTTGATTATGTTTAGAAAAGCATGATAGGTTATGTGTCGTTCGTTTCTCGTATTTGATCCATTAATTGTCTATGTGTTATCGTTGATTGCGTTGCAAAGTGTCTAAGCATGGTTTCGGGTTCTGTAATGGTTCCCGGGGCGAATTTGTGTGATAAGAGTCAGTGGGGGGTAGGTGGGGGGGTAGGGGACCCGCCACCTACCCACGGCCGGAATAGTGATCCTGGCAGCGGGCAGCCGGCGAGCGGGCAGCTACCCGCCGCCGACCCGCTGCCCGGAATAGTAAATCCGGCGGGCAGCCGGCGGGTGGCCCCCACCCACCAGCTACCCGCTGGAATTTTCCCCATCTTGGGTTCCCGGCTTCCCCGTTTGATGTTTCCCCGTCCCCCGTGGTGTCCCAACGGACTCCGTTAATCGTGCCTATGTCTAGTTTGATATTTCGGGTACCGTTCATAGGTTTATGAGTCTATTATATTGCATGCTAGTTGAATTGGTATCCCGTTGACCTAGGTGGAAGCAGTATGAACCCCTTAGGACTATTCCTAGTGTGTGATGGATCACGCATAGGTTTCGTTATACGTTTTCTCCCCCTTCCCAATATGTTAATGTGGGTTGCATGTACTTGCTATGTGTTATGTGTGCATGTAACCCTGAGTTGGTTAAGATCAATCGGGCTATACAGGCAGTCGGGTGGGCTGAGAACCATACCGGCTGTTAACAAGGTTGGTAGAGACCGGTCAGGTATATAAATATTATATAGGACTAAGTTCCACTATACGGGCAGTCGGGTGG